TCGTTCAACCTTGAACGATCGGCCGCTGCCGCAACGTCCGATCGTTCAACAGCGATCGATTCTGGGTCGCCAGCGGCGTTCAACCTTGAACGTCCGCGCTGGGGTCGCCGCTGGTCGACACGACGCAAAGCTACCATAAGGTGGTAATGTGTGTGTGTGTGTTTGGCCCCCCCTCTCTGGGAGAGGGGCTCCCTCCAACAGGCCCAGCTGCGAGAGAAGGGCTCGCTCTGTGAGCCGCACGTCTGGAGACGATAACTAGAAAGGACGAAGCATACGAGGGCGGGAAGGGGACTGGGGACCCACACCCCCGACGCTGTGATTTTCTCACGACGTCGACCCCCTTAGGTCTGGACCCCTTCCCCGGGACGTGTTTTTCATCCTGGTTCGTTTTTTGACGGTCCCGGGGCCCAGGAAGGGCCCCCGGAGGCCGAACATAGCGAAAAACCTCCCGTCGTGATTTGTTCATGTCCCGAGGGGGTGTGGGGAGAGGGAGGGTGAGAAGTAAAGCAGAGAAGAGCAGGAGGGACAGGAGGACGAGACCCCCATGACGATGCCCCTGATCTCCCGAGGATCGCGCGCAGCACGGGAGGGGCTCAGAGGTGCGCGCACCAGCACCGACCTCGGCGGCTGCCTCCACCGAGGGTGGCCCCCGACCTCGGCGATGATGGCTCTCGTCAGGCTCCTCAGGCGCTCGAAGGATGACCACCAAAACCAGCCCTCCTTGGCGGCGCGCACTAGGGGGTAGAGGGAGGGGGAAGGCCTCGTAGAATCAGGCTGCTTCTTAGAAGGCGCGGGCCTTACATCAACAGAAAAGGCCCGCCACTTCTAAGAGGCAGGGGTGTTTCTAAGAAGCCTTCCCCCCTCCACCTACCCCCTTGTGCGCGCGGCCGATCCTTAGGCGCTCGAAGGATGCCCACCAAAACCAGCCTTCCGACTGCTGAACGTTTTCATATTCGGCGCTTCGACGTTGGGCGGAAGGGGGGGAAGGGGGCTACGGCTCGGGAGCTCTGCTCAATGCGATGCGACTGTCTGCAGCAGTGCGTCCTATGGGGGAGACCCCACCTGCTCGAAACAGGCGCTGAAAACAGCCAAGATCTACTCTTCATGATGGGGGAAGGGGGGCGCGAGTGCCCGCGCCGATCGGAAAAACAACGAACACGAAAACGATCACGATTCCGATCGCAAACCACACCCAGGCGTAACAATCTGGGGGCGGCCAAGAGGAGGGCGTCCAAGAGGGGGGGCGCAAATCATGGCCGGCGGCATGTGCGCGGCCCAGGGGGCGGCCGGGGACAGATTGAAATAAGAAGAGGCAGCATGACATCTGGGGAGACATCATGGCCCACGCCATGATATTCACCCCCCCCCGTCATCACCCCCCCCCTGGCCGCCCCCGAATCATGGCCTCTGCAGTCGCTGACCCTGGGGCCGCTGCGCCAGGACCGGCGCACGCATCGCTGCCTCGAAGGGTATCGGAGCCGAGGCCGCGCCCGGGGAGCCTTTCGCGGGGGCGTGGAGACTCGCAGGGCCTCGCCAGGGGCCAACACCGAGCAGTGGCCAGATTTGTGTGCTCTGGTCCGCGGTGCGCTGCTGACCCCCAGGCTTCCAGAAGCGGGGACGGAAAAGTGCCATAAGCATTCCGCCCAGCTCGCGTCAGGTCGGGCATGTCCTCCTACAGGGGGCCCTTGGACGAAAAATAAAGAATTGTCCAAAAGAGAATACTCCCCAAAAATCAAAAATAGTCAAACAATCGTTCCCCGACTACTTATTTACTATGCTTGAGTGTTCCTCCTGTAGAGGAACATGCCCGACTGAAAGCTCGCGCCAGTCCTGCCCCGGGAGGCAAGCCTGCACGTGGCCTCTGCAGAGCCGGGTGGCCTCGGCGTCGCAGGCTGTGCGTGGGCGGACGCCCCGCTGCGGTCGTCTGCGGCTGCCCCCCCCCCGCCCCCCACCCCCCGCCCCGCAACCACTGAGGGGAACGGGAATGTCAAGTCGGGCACGTCCTCCTACAGGCGGATGATGGAAGAAAAACCCAAACTGGTCAAACAGATGCTCAAAGGTAGTCAAACATGGCCGAAACGTCGTCCCCATGACGTCGTCCCCAGACTATTTTTCGACTGGCTTTGAGTATCCCTCCAGCCTACATTTGCTTGCAAGGTCGCTGTGTGGTCGCTTTCTGCCCCTGGTCCCGGCATCCACACTCAGTGCAGCCTGCAGCCTACCTGAGGCGACGCTTAGGCAGCTAGTCGTCTAGGTTTCGCCGCTCCAGCTTGCTCCTGTTTCCATTCGCAGGCCCGCGCCCCCGACCTACGACTCGCCGCCTGCGCTCTCGCCTGCGGCCGCGACCAAAAAAAGTATCCCTCCAGCCTGCAGAGGAGCGTCAGGGGGGGACCAGCTCGGGGCAGGAGAGCCCACAATCGAATCCACAAGTCGGATCGGCGATCGGAATGAATCGGATCGGCGGAAATCGGCAGCCAAGTCGGGAAAAGTCGAATCGGCGGACATGGGCAGGCTAGTGGGCCTCCATTGAGAAATCGGAGCCCAGATCGGAATCCCAAGTCGAATCGAATCCGAATCGGAAGCCATCGAAGTCGAATCGAATCGAATCGGAGGAATCGAAACGAGCCCTGTGGGGGGTACACATCGGGCCTGGACAAAAACAAAAAAAAAAAAAAAAAACGTCGCCGACGGGTCGGCGATGGGCCCCCGAGAGGGCGGAGATCTCCGCGCCGCTCCATGGGCGGGGCGGGCCGCCGGGCCCCCGGTCGGCGCTCCAATGGGCCACCGAGGGCGCGGAGGCGGCTGCGCCCGGGCTCCGCGCGGCGGCACGCGGGGAGGGACCACTGGGCAGGAGTCTGAAGGGGCCCTGGGACACACACACACACACACACACATAAATGCACACGAGCAACAAGATCGGCCGAAAACGCCCGAGATGGCCCCAAGACCGTGCAAGAAGCCTCCCAGACGTCCCAGGCCCCCTCCAAGAGACCCCCAGGAAGCCCCAAGAGGCCCCCACGAGGCTTCCAAGCGGCCCCTAAGAGCTTCCCAAGAGGCCCACAAACTACCCCCAAGAGGCCCCCAAGAGCGCTCGTCGTCGTCGTCGTCGTCGCCATTCAGGGTCGGCGGCACCGGCCGTAAGGCCTTCGCAATAAATACACACAAGTAGCGGGATTCCCCATCGTTTCCCATAGTTTCTGGGTTGCTGTCTCCCCCCCCCCTCTTCCCATATTGTCCCATATGTCTGGGGGATCGCCGATTCGTTGTGCCTGTGTGGTGTTTCCTCTCCTGCATCTCGGCTCTACACGCAGGAGTTACTCTGGGCAAGCGTGGCCTCTGGTGCGCCCCTCCTCCTCTTCCCATATCTTCCCATCTGTCTGGGGTATCGCCGATGAATGGTGCCTGTGTGTTGTGTTTCCTCTCCCGCATCTCGGCTGCACGCAGGAGTGACCCCTGGGCAGGGAGTGGCCACTGGTGCGCGGCTTTGGGGGGGCCGCGGGGCGGCCAAACACACGAGCGCGCACGACGCTGCCATCGCATCGCGCTCGGCGATCGGGGGATCCCAGTGGGCCCGCACCAAAGGTCACTCCAGCGAACGGTCACTCTTACGTGTGGTCGATTATCTCGGCGGTGGGCAAACCTCCCTTTAGTAGACCTTCCCTCCGTGAAAACGGCCTGGGACCGAAACGGACGGACCTGGACCCGCAAAAATGACGGCCGCGACGCCCTCCCGCGAACCGAAAACGGCCAATTCCTCAATCGACGTGTCAGGGTAGGAGGTCTGTCCACCCCCGAGTATCCCCCCCTTGGGTTGCCCCTGAACAGTCGACAACTTGAAGACAAAGCAAGGCCGACAAGTTCCGCTCGGACGGGCAGAGTTCTGCACAGCTCTGCTGTACTGAGCACAGACAGAAAGCTAGGCGATGCAAACTGTGCTACATGTCCGTGGCAACTCATGGGAGCCACCCATACCGTCCTGTTGGCTCTTGCGAATCGACGCCCATCGAGGCTTGTCGACGCTAATCGACGCTAAGTCGATGCTCATCGACGCTAAATCGGCGCTATCCCATCGACTACCAGACACCAATCCATGCTAACGCACTCTAAAAGCGGGATTACGAGGGTATACAAGGCTCCCATGATCTGCTACCGAACTACATCACTCCCCACATCGGCGGCAAAATCAGAACCCTACCCTCGCCGATCAACGATTCCCGCAACTCCATGGGCAACGGGGGTAGGGTTCGAAATCCGTCGAACACATGGCAAAATCTGAGCCCTACCCTCGCCTCCCATCGATTTGAGAGAATCGATGGTTGGTGGGGGTAACCTAACACAAACACCGGCTAACTAGCCTTTGCTCGACCGATCTCGCGTTAACCTGCCATGCAGCGCTTGCGTTACATCCGCGCGTGCTGCTCCCTGGGCTTTGCCTCGCTTCGCACAGCGCTAGCTCAGCTAAGCTCCGCTGCGCCTCGCTCAACTTAGCGATCTTGAGTTTAGCTCAGCTTCCCTCAGCTCAACTGAACTGGGCTGTGCTTATACCAGCCTTGCTTCATACATTACCTCAGCTGTCTGGCGTGGCTCATGCAGGTCCCCCGCGGTTCTATCACCCGACCCCCAACAACCAACAAAAACCGCACCCCAACATACTGCAGGCACGGAGCTGGAAATTTCAAACTCCGCCTCACAGAAGCTCTGGGCTCAATCACGCACCACTCTCCTATGAGAACAAACATGGGGAAACCAAACGATACTGATACCGCTACTGCTCAGACCTCTCTGGGTGCATTCTGCTCAGACTTTCGAGGCGAATCCGGCCGTGGCAACGAGGGCCTCCCAGGCGGCTCAAAGGGCGAGCACGCGTGAATGGTAGCGGTATTGGTACCTCTTCCTCGTCTGAAATCTCTAAAAAAATCAGAAGCCCCTAGGGCTGCAAGGGACAGACACCCTCTCGCCGTGGACGCCTCGCAACTTACGCCCCCCGCCGAATCGCCAGCCTTCTGGGCGTCGGTCTCGTCGCGGACGGTGTCCTGTTCCATGGCCTTCGCGTCCTGGATGATCTGCTGGAGCATGGCGAGGACGCCGCCGCTAGCCGCGCTTTTCTTGTACCTCAGCAGGCCCCCGCCTCCGCGCGCGGACGGGGGGGGCCGCACTGGCTGTGGTCCCGAAGCGGTACGGTAACAAACCGCGCGGCGACCTCGTGGGGGAAAAAAACACACTGTGGGAAAACACACACACACAAAGTGTGTTTTTGTTTCCCACTGTGTGTGTTTTTTTCCCACTGTGTGTGTATGTGTGTGTGTGTATGTGTATGTGTGTATGTGTGTATGTGTGTATGTGTGTATGTGTATGTGTATGTGTATGTGTATGTGTATGTGTATGTGTATGTGTATGTGTATGTGTATGTGTATGTGTATGTGTATGTGTATGTGTATGTGTATGTGTATGTGTATGTGTGTGTAGTGTGTGTAGTGTGTGTAGTGTGTGTAGTGTGTGTAGTGTGTGTAGTGTGTGTAGTGTGTGTAGTGTGTGTAGTGTGTGTAGTGTGTGTAGTGTGTGTAGTGTGTAGTGTGTAGTGTGTGTAGTGTGTGTAGTGTGTGTATGTGTGTGTAGTGTGTGTAGTGTGTAGTGTGTGTATGTGTGTATGTGTGTATGTATGTGTGTATGTGTGTATGTGTGTATGTGTGTATGTGTGTATGTGTGTATGTGTGTATGGTGTATGTGTTTATGTGTGTATGTGTGGTATGTGTGTAGTGTGTATGTGTGTATTTGTGTATGTGTGTATGTGTGTATGTTTGTAAGTGTGTAAGTGTGTATGTGTGTAAGTGTGTAAGTTTGTAAGTGTGTAGGTGTGTAAGTGTGTAAGTGTGTAAGTGTGTACGTGTGTACGTGTGTAAGTGTGTAAGTGTGTAAGTGTGTACGTGTGTAACTGTGTAAGTGTGTAAGTGTGTAAGTGTGTAA